AAATTAAATAAATTAAATCTTGCCCGCTCACGGAGCTACCCATATAATAAGAGCTGTTTAAGTTTTTTTTAATGGTTTTTATTTCTTATTTACAGCAAACTGAGGAAAAGGTCCAGCACAGTGGCTTCATGGTGAGACAACAAAGTGAATTTATTAAATATGTGTCATTTGTAAGGAAAGGCCGCCAAATTCAAGCTCCATCATTTGGATGAAACTAAATGACGATATTTTGACTTTGCAGTGTGATGGCTGTGGAATAAGTCCGATATCAGGCACGAGATGGCACTGTATTGACTGCTCAAAGGACACTGGTGTTGATTTCTGTACCGAATGTGCAGAAAGGTTGGTGTCCAAAGCTCAATAATTATATATATGGATAAGAGAAAGTTCTGGACAATTTCGTGAAGTTCTGGATATTTTCTTCAAAATCATGAAAGTAAGGATGCGAAGGATCGGATGGGTTGTCTTCCAAGCCATGTCTCTCAATAGCTGTTGTTGGAGTTGAGTCTGCGGTCAAATATTCTTTTGTTTTAAAAGGCATGCAAACGAAAGGGCGAAAGGGTCAATACAATGCAGAATTGACGCTTTCGCCTCGTTTGTGTGTCAAGCCGCTGATAACTGCAATAACAGCTATTCTAGCCATGTAGTCAAAGCGGTTTATATTTACAAGCTATTATTTTCTAAAGAAACAGTCGCGCTTCGTTGACGGGAGGTCACACACGTAGCTTTTTATCAACTTGAAGTTGTAAAGGTAAATTAACGTTGTGAAGCTATCGTTTCGACTGTTAGCTCTTTGTTCGAAAGGCTGGTACCCAAAACGTTAGCTTCACAAACTGGCTTCGGCGTTAATTTACCTCCTAGTTTTACATGATCAAATATTTTCCAGTTCTCTTTCGAGTGATATATGTTTTTGCTTTAGTCGAAAATAAGTACGAAATTTTAGCTGCCATGTTTCGGAACTGTCTTGCTAATACTCATTCTATTTTGCTTCACAGAGGAAATATTAACGTGGGTTCACACACAAGTGAACATCAACTTGAACCAATAACCAGAAATTCTACGTTCTTTGTGGACGGAGACTATCTCGGACTCAGTGGAGGAAGCACGAGTGCCGGTTATAACTATCTGGACACTAATTTCCTGCCATCTGCCAGCTAGCACAGGGAAAACTCTGGCATTGTTCCAAACGATTATCATTTATTACAGGAATCACATCAAACGTAGACAACACCTTGGACGAATCAGAACTCGCAGCCAAAACATGCAGTCGCTGCCAAGCGCGGGAAATCGTGCACAAACCAAGACGTGTGGTTTTGCATTTAATCCTGAATGGCTGACAACGCCAATACGTGCGCTCTGATTCGTCTGAACAATTTGTAAAGATTATTTTTTTGAACCACACGTAGAGCCCACACGAAATACAGCTCTGTCTGTTACATATAAATTGACTCTGCTTTTGGACTAGAAGGATTTTTTCCTTTGAAAATGTTTATTTTGGCAGCTAAAGAAAGGGGACGATTATTGTACTTTTTTCAGCATAACGACATGCGACTCCAAAATCCAATCTCAGTCTATGTGTCGTGAACCATGGTATTCGTAAGAGTGATGAAAATCAAATTTCTCCTAACAGTATTCATCTATTGTGAAGCAGACAGGTGTTGAGAATAAATAGAATCATCAGCTGTAAGTTATGTCGTCACACTCAGTTCTCCGACAGCCGATGATCTTTTAATTCTACCGGATTAATTACCCAGCTTTTATCACCACTAATTTGACGTTCAGTGTGATGTGAGTCTTCAAAGTCAACCACAAAGCAGAAAACATTTGAGTTGCTGAATTTAACGTTGACGCTCATAGGCCACATACGTATTCTCGGTATTGGACTGGAACTAGCTTGCAAGTGAGGCTAATGCGGGAGTCTTTTCAAATGCAAATAGCATTTATCCTTTTTCTAATGATGTTCCCCCGTATGACTCCATTGCAAGCTAGTTCCAGGCCAATACCGAGAATACGAATATGGTCTATTTAACAATTAGACCCGTGGCCC